TGAGCCTTCGAGAAATGTGCCAATACACAGCAACTCTGCCCAAACCTTGGAAAACACACATTGCAAATGCCAAAAACAAAAAATCAAATTAAAGAACTACAACAGAAAATCATGTTTCGGCACGGTCACATCGAAAAAGGCAAGAGATGCATTGTGCTTTGTGGAAACACCTGAGCACAAAATATACTTTGCACTCTTCTCAAAAAAAAAAAAAGTACTGCTTTAAGTCGGCTCTGTGGAACTGTTCCCGCGCACGGCTTTGAAACCTCCACTGCACATGCGCGCCGCCACGTCCGCCAGGAAGACGAATTCAAAGCGAGAAAACCACAGTTTTCAATGCAAAACAAAAATTCCAAAATTTCTCTGGCGCGTTTGTCTAGAATTGCAGAAAAGTTGCAACTCACGTCTTTGTTTGCGTGCAGAAAGGTTCCTTCTGATGGACACATTCTCCAAGAGTCTTGAAAATCAGACGTCAAATTGGCCAAAACTTCTTCTGGGTGAAGTGGAGCAAAAAGTAAAACGCAACACATCTTAATTGTTGACCCATTGACTCCTAAAACCTGTTGTTTCACGACCTCTCAGCACTTCACAAACTGGTTAACGCTTGTGATGCAAAGGCTCCCCCAGTGTGGCTGCGGAACCTGAATTTGTTCGATGTTCATCGCTTAAGATACGCAATATTGTTGTCGTTGTCTGTGAATCTGCAGTAGCTCAAGCTGTGCTATTGGATGGAGGGCTTGCGCAAGAAAAGAGACACACTGTGATGATTTTTGCAAGTTGAGAATTTTTGAAAAAGGGTGAAAAGCGGTGACCCGTTTTTGGTGCCCTTATTTGGCAATTCCCAAACGCTCAGAAAACGGATTCATTTTTGGGCCTGCATTTAGTGCCGGAAAGCCAAGCTGCACGATGCATCGAAACCTTGTAAATATTCAATTGTCAATGGTCATTGGTTAAAAAAGATTTAGGCAAGTTTCAATTCTGTTTAGCAACACAAAAACTTGTCTAGAATTTCTTCTTTGAAACGTTGGAGTCAATTTTTTTTGTCATTTGTTTTTCTGTTGGCTTTTGTCTTCTTGCGTGTCTTTGATGGGCACCTCTTCATCCTTTCAAGTTTTTGTTCTTACCCTTTGAAGTTTGTTTGTTGGAGCGGGTCGGTTTCAGGCCAGCGAAATGGCTCTTGTCACCGCTTTTTGCTTGCTTGTTGTTTTGATGGCTTGGAACCGAGCGCAGCTGATGCTATCCATGAGGCCGCACCAGCAAAAAAAATTTCAATTAGTTCTGGTAGTGCTTCAGGTTTCATCATGTTCATTTCTTATTTTATATAATTCTTTCATCTCCGCTTTCACTAAAAAAATCGTGTTTTTCATACATGGGTTTCCCTAATACAAACAAACCGAAACCAAAAAACAATGCTTTGTAATATTCGTTTGCGTCTATTAAACATATGAGTTCAAGTTGGTTTATTTGTGCTAGATGTTTGTAAAATTCCATTTCAAAACCTTCCATAATATATTTTAGGTGAAAAGTTCACTATTATTCGACGTTGCGAAGTAAGCGTTTCTTTTATTCTGGTAAGTGCTATCTTTATCGGGCTTTGGTTTGCTCAATACCTTGGTTGTCGTTTTCGCTTTTCCTACCTTCTATTTCACTTAATTTGTTGTAAATTTGCTGAAAGCTGTGCGTAACTTGATCTTTAAAACATTCCTTCTCGACTCAACTTTATCCATATAAAAGCTTTAGATATTGTTGTTCGTAAAAGTTTTAAAATGTCAATCCATAATATTCAAGGTATGTTTGTTAATATCATCTGTATCCTTCTTAAGTTCAATTATGTCGGTCTCCAATTTCTCAATTCGTGCTTCTGTTTAAAACACTATTATTAACCAATAGTAATGTTTGATTTTAACCTTAATGGTTTATGTACCATCGCTACGTCTGTATCCGGGCGAAGAACGGTACCTACTGCAACTGACTTTTTTCCAAAAACGAATGTGTCTCCTTAAAAGGTTGACCATCAGATTGGAAACCATGCAACATCTTGCAAAATGTAAGCTTGTCGGCTGGTTGAGATATGGTGGTTTCGGTTTTTACGCAAATCCAGGCCCAGTTGTAGTATAGGGCTTCTGGTTGTAGTATCGGGCTTCCGGTTGTAGTGGGGGCTAGTCGCGCCCACCCACCCCACTCACCCCCCCCGCGAGGGGGTACTCATGCTTCACTTCTACTTTTTCGGCTCTTGCACCAGACGCAAGCACATGACTTGAGCATGACAGAATCGTGCATGAACAAGATGAAGCATGCCGTGTGATGCCCGCCAGTATACCTCACACCCGGGCGACGTACGAGTAGCACCCGGCGCTTTGGCTAGGAATGGGCAGTCGGCCCGACTGACCCATGGCGTGGCCTGCACATAAGACGGGCTTTGCGCCCAGATGGTAAGGCCTGACTTAAACCCTATCGTGATTCTATCGCTCTGCCTGTGTCAGGCCCTCGAAACTCTGCTTCATGACGCCGAAATGGCCTCAGTGCTTTTCATGCCGCGATGCACGTTGCAAGTTATTTCCGTTTCTGCAGGCCCAAAACGGGCATGGGAGACCTGGTTGCGAATTTGGCCGCCGGGACGCTCACAGGCACCCCACGAACGACAACATTGTGGCTTCCTTGGATCAATTGCTGCTCAGGCATGACTACAAGTTCTTTCAGCCATCCCATGGACACATTGAAGTCTCGCTGGCAAGTGGTTCGCAGCTCAGTCAGTCTCTGCATCATTCGTTGTGACCTTTCCTTGTGAACTGCGATGAGTGGGCAAGCGCTTACTGTGCGGCAGACATGAAAACGATTCCAAAGGCGTGCCGGAAAACGACAGGGCAGTGGCTTGATGGCATTGGGAGTGTGGCGAGTTGCAGGCCGATCCGATCAGAAATATTGTCATGTCCTGAACGACATGGTACATGCCTTGTGATTTTTTCTCACTTAGGCGAGCACACTTCGAGTTGAGTTGTTGCCAGAACAACTTCTTGGGAACCGGGCTTTCTCTAGCATTTCCGAATATTTGATTGTAAACGTCCGTTGGCTGCATCAGCCTCGGAATTATGATGCTTCACCACAGCTGAGGACTTGCTTCGGTTTTGCGAGAACTCTTCTGTTGCAGGTCGCCCAAGCGAGTGTTCATTGTATAACGACTTCTCTTCACTGCGGTGCACTGGTCTAGGAGGGCTTGTGGATGGGACTATGGAGGCGCAGACCTTCAGAATGTTGATCCTTCAAACAGCGCGGTTCTTGAGCACAAGCACAGAAGGCCGGGGCTCGCGGCCAACGTGGCTTCAATGGGCTGCTGTGTTGGTATGAGGCTGGAAATGTGTTCAGAACCTCGTGTAACATGTCATTGAAGTCGACTGATCAAAGATCAAAGATCAGCATTTGCACGGACATAAAAGGAACGGGCTATACACTGTCTTCCGTGATGGCATTGGCTCTGACCCAAGACATTATGAGAGTCATCGAACCGGCACATGTGCGAAGTCCAGAACAAGACGGGGTGAAGAACACGGCTGACCGTCCAATACCAGACGTTTGAGGCCACTTGGAAGACAGAGCTTCCGGCACGACTGGCAAGGCGGCAGTACGGATTGGATAGGGTAAGGCCGTCAATCTGTGTTCAGTGGCACCGCAAGGCTGGTCCAGTGGCAATGTTCACAGCCGGACTGTTTTCTGGCATGCCGGCATCTGAACTGCTAGGAAATCGAAACGACGAAGTTGTAACAGACGGATCGTCGGATCAGGGCCGGCTACATCATCACGGCACCACTGCTGCAGGTGGAACATGTATCTTTTGTTTCATGATTCGGTCTTTTTGCAAAGGATTTGCTCAGAAGTCTGTAGCTCCTTCGTCTTGCGATGCGCAACAGGTGAAGACACGGATGCAAGCCGAAGCCGGGCGAATTGGCCCTGTGATCTCCTGAGTCGGCCGGTGTGTTCACAGCAAGACCAGACGGAGGACACATTTTGTCTCGCAAGGATGGTCGGTATGTAACCGGTCTTCGTCGTGGGCATGCGCCCACATATCAAAGCACATTTCAGGCCTTGCCACTAAGCAACCTGAGGGATCACAGTGCTCGTGCACTCCGCTTGACAGGCACTGCATGCTCTGGCATCCGCAAGATGCTTCTTAGCATGCAGTAGAAAGGGACATCCCGGAAATCCGCCAACGTGTCAATCCAGGTCCCCAAGAAAGGATGCGATCCTTGTGGAGAGGAGCTGGTGTGGCAGCAGCCTCAGATCTTTTGAAATCAGTTTCCCGAGACTTCAAAACCACGACGAAGTGATGGCGGGAGGAATTTTTGCAGTGACCTTCACTGCTACGCAAATCTAAGATCGTGGCACGCGGTGCTGCGCTTTCGGGCTCTCAGCTCATGGCGTGCGCTCCCTAGGTGCTTTTTGTGTCTGATGTGTCGTGATGTGTCTTGATCTTTTTCGGCTGGCTCACGATGATGTGGATGGTTACGTCCGTGGTTTTTCTCTGTTAGCTGCTAGCTTCCGCACAGATCGGGTGCCTTCGGCAATGCACACATCCCACACTCAGTCGCAGGCTAACTTGCACAGAAGAGATCAATAATCACTGCAACTCCCAGTGCGCACGCGAGCACACAAACACAGACACCGAGCGAAACAGCATCAGGAGGGGGGGAGAAGTAACTTCACCAACCTGGTGCAGTTTACAAGTTTAGATGGCTTCTCCGCCTCGCAGCGATGGACATGCGAAATGGCTGTCTGGAAACGCCAGCAAGGACGCGAGATTACGTGCTTATGCGGTCTTGCGATCGTGCCGGCTCAGCACATGATCTGAGATGCTTGAAGGATGGCCTCCGTGATCTTCTTTGCGGGATGATGTCGGGCTTCGTGTGCCGAGAGTGCAAGTCTTTGTAGCAGACTTCCCCCTCTGAGACTCTGGATCCATGATGTGCTTTGCAAAGTGCAGGTGCAAGATCGTGGAATATCCCGCAGATACCATCAAGGCTCCGGGCTCCGACTTCGAGCAGCTGGCCCGTGATGTCTTCGCAGGTTCTGGAGCAGACCAGCGGACGCTTCAGCGGACCGGTCGACTGCTTCCGGAAGACGGCCAGCGACTCGTAATGCCCGCAAGACACTGGTGACAGTGGTGGCAAAAGTGGGCAGGTGGCAACTTCGGGCATTCTGTCACTCTACCAGGGCCTTGGCGCCCCGCTGCTGGGGTAACTCGGTGGCGGCACTGCTGTGGCTAAACACAGGTAGACAACGGGCACTAGCTGCTACTTTTTTCATCCCTGCTGATCGGAGGTCCATGGCCGAGAATGCCAGTCTCTTCGTGTCGTATGGATACATAAAGAAGGCAGCCACGGGCCGCGTGTATCTCCGGTCGGGAGTGCCTTTGCAAAGAGTTTGCTGTCAGGTCCTTTCCGTGGATGAAGTTTCTCAGTTGCAGAGCCTGTTGGCCTTGATGCATGCGTATTTCAATGTCTGAGAAGGATTTGGCCACACTCGCCAACCCCATTCCATTCTGGAAGCTGGTCTTGGCAGGCTCTGGATGGCTTCTTTGCCTTGAAATTTGCAACAGTGGGCTACGTGGGACTCTCTGGAAATCTGCAGGTGGTGGCAGTGGTTTTGCATCCACCTGCGTGCTGACGCCGGTGGAGCTGATCAAGTGCAGGCTGCAGGCGGGCAGAGGGTAGCTCGCGAAGTAGCCTGAGCCTTCTTGTTATGTGGAGGCCCAGCTCAGCAGCACACATGCTGAAAAGCTTTACAGGCATGTGCCGTTGCGAATGTTGCATTCCTGGGCATGTCGGTGTTTTGACAGGGGGCCAGTGGATTGTGTTGTTCGCACAGTGCGAGAAGACGGTTTGACGGGCCTGTGGCGAGGCAACCTGAGCACGTCGCTTGGATGCAATAGGGCCATTGCCCATCTTCAGAAGTGTCGGCTGCTGAACGCCTGTGCGTGGAGCCAGGCTTATGCGAGAAGTTCCTGGCAATATGGCAGCTGCCTTGAGCAGTTGTACCTGCATTGCTTCGCCGGTATTTGATCACTGGCTTCGTCAAGGCTTGGTTCGGCGTTTATGAGGGTGTCGAGGGCCCAGAATCGAAGAAGCCATGCTCCAGATCGCGACTTTTGCTTCTGTCCCGTATCCTCAGTTGGTGGAAGGTCATGAGGATGGTGCAGACAGCCAAGCAGTACGATAAGAAGAAAGATGTTCCGCTTTTGTGGTCTGCCTTATCTGGTTCCTGTGCCGGTGCTTTGGCTGCCAGACCGATCATTGTTCCACCAAGCCAGACAACTTAGGATTCTCATCAAAACCAGACTCAGGTGTCGCATACTGGGGCGTGCCTTACCCAGCAGACACGGCTGCAGCCTTGGGCGCAAGCTTTGACAGAAAGATGCGACATGTCCTGCGCTGCTTGTGAAAGCTCCAAGGTCAAGTCCAAAATTCAGACTGATCCACGATTCTACGGGCAGTCCTTCATGACAGTTTTTCGCACTGTGCTGAGGCATTCTTCGTACATGCAGCTAGAAACTGATTTTCTGAGTCATCGACCCCTTTATCAATCCTTCGCTTCTCGTGCAGGGAAGATGGCATCTCCGGCCTTTACCGTGGTTGTGGCATCACTTGCTTCCGTGCCGTCACTAGCCGAGCATGGCGGGCTCGTCTGCTTGAAGCCCTTGAACCACATTGGTGGCTCCAAGGTTCCATCTCACGCGCTGATATTCTATGTCTACGAGATGGCAAACAGGTTTCTGCTCAAATTCTAGGAGCTGCAAGCGGCCTTGGCCGCCTCAGGGCCCGGCTGCATACGAGTTCCTGACGCTTCCGTGTACATAAGATGACGAACATCTCAGCTTGCAAAGTCCGAGCGGAGCAGATGGTAGCTCTGTTTCCCGAGTTCGTTGCGTACCTGTGGTGAAAGCAAGTTGAGTTACCTGTCTGAGCTTCCGATTAAGTTGAACATGAACGAAGAATTACCGTAAGTCTTAAGTGTTTCTACGACAGCTGCCACCCTCGAAAGTGGAGAAGCCTTTTCCGACTTGGCCACGATCTGAGCATCATCGAATCGATATTCGGATATTCGAAACACGGCGAGTTGGGCCCTCAAGACATGGTGAAAGCTCTTAGGGGCGGCAGGAGGCTGCGTAGAGGGACCACGAATTGAAAATTGAAGCGCATGTCACATCGGCAGTGACCGATATGGGACCTTGAATCATTACATCACGCCGACTACCTCTAGTGCGGCTAGGAGCGGGTTCAAGATTCAAGAGCGAGCCAGAGGGTTTGCAGACTCCATCGATAAAGCTGCGGCCCATCGTTGCTGTTGATAGCGAGCATGTCTGGCCCATAAACAAATGGTGCACATATGCATCAGACAACGAGAGTATGACTAGATCAGGATGGCTCGTGCTCCGTATCTAGCAAACTGGATTTTTAGAAAACATATCTGAATGACAGGACTTGTGTGCATGTTGCACGTATGCAGCAGCTTCTTTCTGCGTTGTGGGCTTTGAGCCGGCTCGCTTGGCGTTTTTGGTTGAGGTACGATGCCTTCAAAACGATGATGAAGGCCTATAATTTGATGAAGGATGGCCGGCTCCTCTGATGGTAGAACCGGACGATCATGTGCTTCTTGCAGGCGCCGCCGATGTTATGCCCATGAGATCTGGATCCATTCATCATGCAGCTTATGGCTTATGCATTGGAGCATGCGGCAGCTGTCCTCATCAATGCATCGTAGAACTTTATGTCAGCCCCCAGTTCATAGCCATCGAGGCGGAAGCAAGATCAATCAAAATCACAAGCATGTAAGACTGCATGGCAAGCAAGAGGCTTCCTAGCTGGACTTACTACCTTGTCGTGCCATGGCCCTCTTTTTTGGGAGGTCAGGGTGGTACGACGAGGATGAGAATGAACAGGTGCGAGGCAGTGTAACAGCATCCGAAAAAAAAGTTGGTATGCTCATTCAGGAGGAGGAGGAGGAGGATGAAGAGCGACATCCAGATCCGGAGCAAGTTCAGTGCCCACGGCCTCAATGCATTCTCCGGAAGCTTTGGCAGATGGACACATCCAGATGTGATGAACATCCAGATATGATAAATCCTAGATTTTTACAGTGGATTCTTGTAAGGAATGGCAAGTGGGTGGAGGTGTGGCCCGAACACTGGGGCATGCGCATGCATCAAATACGGGAGCTCCTCAATTCCTGCAAGGCGGGCACACGCAGCCCCAGAAACTTTCAGGGTCGTCTCGACTCGTAAAGTGTACATGTCCAGCAGGCTCCTCCGCTGGAACCATGCAAGGGTATGATTTTGTTCTGGGCATTTCCACACAATAGATTACTGCGCACTGGCGACGTGAAACGGACTTCGGACTTATGGCGGTTCAATTCTGGCTGAGCAGCTTTGCCGTGGTCAGGAGGATGTTCACTGGCACCAGAGCCATTCTGTTCGAGACATGGTGAATCAGCACTTGCTTCCTCGCACAGCTGGCGAAGGAGTTGGCCGCTCGGAGGAAGATCCGCCTGCTGGTCTCGTGATGGTTGCGGTTGTTTGCGGATCACTATGCTGCTCCGCCAAGGTTATGCTGTGAAAATCAATCGTGAGTCACCTTTGGAAGTTGATGTTCTCATATCGCACTCTTGGAACGAGAATGCGGAGGCCCGGAAGAGTGGGACTGGATGAACGCAATCCCAAAGCTTTAAAGTCATTGTCAGGAGTTCGTGGATACCCTCGAGCGGACCGTCGATCCTGAAGAAGTTCTTTTCGTTTGTGCCTTTTCAATCTACCAAAATGAGGCACAGAACGCCGAGCTTATGTACACATAGCAGCAGCTTGTTCAGCCGATCATGCCAGGACAACGCGGGACCTAGCATCGCCGAGCAGATCGGATCCTCCACGCAGCACAGCCCTTTTGGGAGGGTCTTGTCGCACATCCAGGCTGTCTTAGCTGCCTTGATCTTGTTGTTCTGCGGCAAGTCCTCTCACACTAAGTGTTGGTCGGTTGGCAGGTTACTGCGGTTTCAAATCTGCATGCGGGAAGGGTCGTACCTTTTCTACCATGGGCCAGGCTGACGTTTTCAAGATTACTTTGCTCGCACAAAAGCTGCAGATCAGTAGATACTGGAGGCCCCAATGTGTCTTTTTTTATGGCTATTTGAACAGGTGAGCGCCAGTACAGTGCCTTATGTCAAATGCTATTTTGGCTCAAACTACTGGTGTTCCCGCACACCACTTCTGTGATCGAAAACTATCCTTTCGCTCGCCTTTGCTCGTCATGGCCGCACCAGCTGCCCCCGCTGATGCTAGGACCGTTGTTGAGGAATTTGCGGCAGCAAGGGAGTTAAGGGAGATCGTGCCGCCTTCAAGGAGGCCCGCCCGGCCTCCAGCAAACAATGGCGCTTGATCTACGGGAAGATGGGTGCTTTCTGGTCCAGGACTCCAAAAGCACCTCATTTTCCGGGCCGTTTCTGTGACGAGAGGATTTCCCTCCCGGTCAGTGTCTTCACGGAATTTTCGGAGGTGAACATGCGCCTGGGCTGGTCCCATCAATTCGAAGCTTGGACATCCACGATTGAAATCCCGCCCACCCAACCCTGATGGGGGACGTTGGCTCCGCCAGCTGAGGTCCCGGACGCTCACCGGGAGCATGTGAACAAACTCTCAAATCCTTTCCAGGTTATGCTGGTGAGAAAATGCATACCATGGGTGGTGCAAGCCAAACTTGCCGAGGAGGGTCACGTCACCCTTGAGGACTTGGCGCGCGGCTGGGACACGCCGAAAGCGTGCCGCCCCAGCGCGCCCGCTGAACTTAGGTTCCAGCGAGACGAGCACGATTTCACCGAGGCCGAGTCCAAGTTCACGCCAGCGCTAAGAGCCATTGGCCCCGCTAGCGCAAGCGTCAAGGGTATAGCCTTGATGCACTCTGCGATCACAAGCAGTTCCTGGCTGATTGGGAGAAGATGCACAGCGCCGGCATTGGAGTTCCAGCGCAGTGATGCATACGTGAAGAAACAGTTTCGTCGTTGCTCTTCGACGAGGGAAACGGGATTTCTCTTCCAAGCAGATAATCTCAGCCTTTCCGGAAGAGGATGAGCGACCCTTTAAGACCAGGCGCAAGATGACGGCTGATGGATGGGACAAGGAAGGGGAGGAAGAGGAGCGGAAGAAGCCCACTACCAGGCGGCATCTGGAACGACTCCAGTCAGTTTTCAGGAACACGTTCCCCATGTGTACGGGGGGCTTCCCCCAATTCAGCCGATCAAGAAACCGGACTTGGACGAGTGGTACGACTCACGACTGGTTCTGGGGCAAAGACATAGCGGGTACGTCCCCCCCGCCTTCAGACTGGGTCCTCATGTCTGCGGAGCGCAAGGCTTGGCGTGAGGTCCACAAATTGGTCTACGCCGTTGAGTCTCATCACAGGCGACTGGTCACGAACTACCCCTGCGCGTCCACCACGCAATCTTTTCTTGGCATGTCAGTTTAAAGCGGGCAAGTTGACCCCAAGTCCCGCTTCTGTCCCCATTCCCGGTGCCCCCGAAACGGGGGGGCAATGAAGAACCCTGTGCTACATTATTGTCCTTTGCGTTTTCATTCCTTACACTACGTGTCTTTTTGTTCTGATCGCAGTGTGCTTTTGAATGACGTGGAGAGGGAGATTCGACTATCAGGCAGTCCTGACACATCAGTCTCTCGGATGCGGTGGTGGCTGTTTGTTGCATCGCCAAAATACCGCTTGATCATGATTATTTGCAGGCGCGTGGTGCAAGTGCGGGTTTCTGGTGGTGGCCACGACGCACGTTCTACATGCTGCCAGGCGACCCATCACCCGAAATTTGAGAAGTGGTATGTACTTGCGCGATAGTACGGAGCAACCTTTGGGTTCTTTTCCTAAGTAGGAGCTTCAGAAGGAACCCAGTGTGATGTGACATTCGCTGCGTCTAAGGTATGAAACTGTGACATCCGTGGCATGCAAGATTGAGCAAGTAAGGGTCGCACATACGAGCTCCAGGGACCTGCGACGTGCTGGCAGGCTTATGTCTGCTGTTGGCGCTTGAGCTCTTTATGGTATCTCAACTTCTTTGTGGCGGAGTGGCTGGAATAGAGAAGCTTTATGTCTTGGTGACATGGCTGTATGCAGGAGATGCGAGATGTTACCCATGACCTCGCGGACTGTTCACATGCGCGGCATGCATGGAGTACGCAATACTGGTTGAAATTTAAACTCATCCCAATGTCATGAGGAAGTGGCTTCTGACAAATACTGCAGCAATTGGCGGGAGGGGAGAGGCACTTGTTTGGCGAGTCACTGGGTGCCTTGGCTTACAAAGCCGTGGCTTGTGTCGGCAAATCCTTGTGTGTACAGTTTTACAATCATTTCTCTTGTGCAGTGCTGTTATTGTGTGGAGCCTAATCTCGGCCGTTTGGCTAATCAATTTTGTGAGCACAGCATTGGTTGCCAGCTGATCAATTCCATTTAATTTTGCCACTACTCTCTTCACTACCGACAGGCAGCCTAGGATTGGTTCCCAGACCGTCGTACACATTTTAGTCATCGAGTTTCCGGCAGGAAGCATCACTTTTGCCATCCGAGTCATGTGGTGCAAGGCCTATGGAACAAGGACTGCTAGTTTCACAAAGGCTCTGATAGGCTTTGCCAGGCCGCAAGGTTTGTGGGAAGCATTAGAGGCTAGGGCAAGATTGGACGCTTGAGCCAATCCCAACGAACCGTCGACCCAGACTTGAGGGACGGCGTGGGCGCCACCCTGCCTTGCGAGTCAAGGAAAGTATGCGACCTCGTTTGGTCAGAGGTGGTTGCAGGGTGAGGGGTAGTACATGCCCAGTGCCCCGAAAGCTCAATCAGGGCCACCACCATTTCCCGTGTTGTTCCTTCATCTGTGGCCGTCGCCCCCTAGAAGTCTAGATTTTCATTCTGTTTTCTATTTGGAGATTTGGGAGTAAGATTGAGGTATGAGCTGGTTCGTGCATGATTGATTCCCATGTCAACGTTGAGAGCCGGGGACAGGTCGTCGCTGACTTGGACGGATACTGTGCTGCCACCTTCCCTTCGGTGTGGAGCCTGGTGGTATTTGGCATCATTTTGGAAGTGGCCCTGCGCTGCGTGTCTCCCTGGGTCTACAGTGGCCGCGCCTCCGACAGTGTTTCAGAGAGGTTTTTTCACATATTAAGCAATATGGATCAATATGGAATTTGTTCGCATCATCTGACATGTGCTTTTGGGGCGTCATACAAATGGCGAATGCCCGAAAGTATCAAATCGTCACCCGGTTGACGGTGTTGATTGCGGAGGTATGGTGGCCGTGCCAAATTACCAAGACAATCTCTACCAGAGGCCAGGGATGGGCTAAGCACGTGCAATTTTTTCCATCCGATCGAAAGTGAGCGTGTTTTCACATACTTCTTCGAACAAGCTTGAGAGCTGACTTCGTTTCAACCTTCCCCTAGGAATCATTACATGTAAACATAGCTGGCCAACCTGTCTCTAGGGCGAAGCCCTATGTGCTCTTTCTCCGGAGGTTTAAGCCCTGCATGAAAAAGACCCTGCTACTAGCCCATGCGGTTTGAACATGTTTAAACACAATGCGTCTACACAGATGTGAGTTGCCTGTGAGACGACGAGTGAGGTCCTGGCAGGCCCTCGCAAGGCGGAGTAGGTGAACAGGTCAGGGCAGAATGTCGGGAAACTGTTGTGAACAACAGGAACTACTAAGTTGAAAAGAGAACTGACACAACCCTTTGCCAAGCCAGGTCGTCAGAAAGGATCTTTGTTTTTGGGCCGTTTGGAAAACATACAATCAGTAAAGATCTTGGTTCCTTTCTACACCTAAAGTTTGAAACGTCAAAACATGCATATTTAGAGACCTGGCCGTTAATGTGCTTAAACACGTGTCGTCTGAGCACTGAGCAGTTCAAACATCGAGTCTTGAACAGGGAGTTCGTTTAAGCCTTTTAAATTTAAACATAGGGTTCCGAACACGGGAAGATGCATAAATGTTTGTTGTTTAGCACGGGCTGGTTTAAACCGTTTAGCCGCAACCCCTCGGCCAGAGGCTGTGGTGTGTCTATGTATCTTGGCAAGTCTTCAGAATTCTTGTCAGTGCACCCACAAGCTCTGCCTCCGCCGAGCCAGAGCCTGACTGAGGAGATATTCATGGCCACTCAGCTACAGGTTTATGTCTCTTTGGCGCACACCCTGGCTCCAGCTGGCAAAGTCCATGCCCGGAACGCCGGTTGCTCCAATGCTGACGACGAGGCCTACTGCAGAGAACTCAAGCCTTGTCTCCAATCAAACACAGAGTCGTGCTGCAGTGTGTGACTGATGGCAGGCTCGGATACGAAGGGAGATTGAGTCCTTTGGAGCCAGAGTTCGTGCAAGGTGCTGCAGATAAACGGCCAATCTCGCACCCCCACCTCTTGTGCGATTGTGCACAGGTCCAAGTCAAAGCTTTTCGAGCGCTACGGCACGGACTCAGAGGAGGCTGCCGCAGAAGAGGGCTACCGGCGCGTGGATGCCTCCATCACCTGGACTACGACACGTGCGAAGCGGGCTCCTCGCTGTGGTACAGCACATACACGCACAGGAAGCACGAGGACACTTGCCAGAAGCCCCATGTGCTGCAAAGCTCAGGAATGGCTGCTGGTCATCCTTCGTATTATACTGCTGGGTACCGCGCTGCAAGGAAGCGTCACTGTCCTCTCCCTATCTCTGGGCCTCAAAAAAAGATACTTCGCTCTGGGCTCCTTGCATGGAAGTAAACCCTTCGAGTCTAGGGTGTTGTCTTGCACAGCTAAGGATAAAGATAGCACAACATCTGTTCTGTTTGTGCATCTTGCTTGCTTCTTCGAGGCTATATTTTCGCTTTCTTCTTATACATGGCTCTGATGTGGTCCATTCTGCGGCGCACTGGATGTATTGAACGCCGACACCTGCTGCTCTTAGGGATGCTGCCCTTTTTGACTGGTGTCATGCTCGTCGTGATGGACACTTGGTCTTGTTGTGACACTTTGTCTTGCATTCTTTGGTTTCATTAACTTTTGGTTGTGAATCTTGATAGCCAGGGGCAAACAATCAAGCCAGGCTGACTTGGTGGCACCCGACTTCGAAAATCACAGCATGGATGTGCCGAAGATGCAGAGTGAGAACTTGGACCCCCCACTTAGTCCAAACAATTTGTCTTTAGCACAAGCTGAGGTGGTCGCTGCGATGGGGTTCGTTTTTGTCATGTACCATGGCTGCAGAAAGATCCAAGCACTACACAGAATTCGAGGGTGACATGAATACTTTGTTGGGGAGCCAACGACATTTTTACCTCAAGCTCCATTTTGGAAGTTTGTTTTGCGGGATGTGGGCTTCTACCTCGAGACCTGGTGTCACTTGGTTTCTAAATGCATTTTGTGGCGTCTACTTTCGCATCAGTTCATGTTAGGAAAAGTCCACCAAGTGTGCCAACATTGCGGCAGATTGGCTAGGCTAGCCGCTTTGCCTAGGTTTGGCGTCTCCAGCTTGTTTCTGCCACTGACGAGGACGCGCGGAGACTGTTACTTTTGCACTCACCGTAAGCAGATGTTTACATCAACAACACTCATGGTCTTCGTACTTGTAAGAATGTGAACCAACAGTTATCGTCATGCCTCGAAGACTGTCCACCAAGTCCATCTATGGCAGGATACGGAAATTCCGCAAGAACTGGCGACCTGCATTCCTTTGCATGGTCGGTGCACTGACATGGCTCGGATTCTATGCAACTCGGCTGCATTGGAACGCCTGTGTCTCCAAGTCGATGCTGGGACCTTTTTGCAGTGTGCTGACAAGCAGCAGAACTTGTCAAAGCAGTTGCTACAATGAGAACAAGGCCGAGCAACAGCATCCAAAGTCACAGCAAACTTTGCAGGGCTGAGGATGCTCTTGCGTGTCCCAACACATTGCCAAGAATGTGTACGAGCTGCTGCTGTCAGGGTGCAAATGGGTGCAAAGTGACTTCTCATTGCTGCGGTCCTGTAAGCTTGACGATCTCAGAGTCGACCTCAGGTCTCCTATGCCATCTACTTCCGCAGACCTGCCTGGACCCACGGGCAAACATCGACATTGTGGGGGTAGCTTGGGTTTTCTTTCGAGCTTATCAAGAGCCCTATCTCCGACCTGGCGCCCTGGCACCCTGGTGCAGGAGCTTCCAGACTTTGGATGTGAACTTTGCGCCGGCTCCCGAGCTTTCGAATGGGGTTGGTGAGAGCTGTGACTTGTGGCTTATCCATGCGGTCTCTTGACCTGTCAATCCTGATCGTCTGCCCTCTTTTCCCTACCCTCTCTTCCCCACTTTCACTGCCTTTCCCGTTTTTCTGTCACTTCCCTCCCTTCCCTTCGTCCTCCGTAGTTCTGGAAGGGGCTATACCGCTAGTCCCATGCAGGCAATGAAAAATGAGGTCTAATTTCCACTCCACGGGCAGGAACATATGTTTCTATCAAGTTGGGAGATGCATAGACGTAGGGAAGCCAGTGTGACAAGATGTGACACTCGTCGCGACCCACCACTCGAGAAGCATCGAGAAGCCAGAAGTGACCATGGAGAAGTCGCAAGTTCCCCTGGGCTCATGTCTAGGTATCCGTCGCTGATGCAGACTGCAACTTTGAATTGCGGTCCGCCGCTGCTTGCATGCAGCCTCCTTGCACTTAGAGTGCATCGTCAGGGTTGAAGGCCACTTGCCCACATCCGAGGCTACATTTGGTCATTTTTGCTTGCTTGGGGAGTGCCATGGCTGCAAACCAAGTTGGTGGCGTTCATCTTTTGGCTTCTTTGGAATTGAGGTGCGAATGCAGATCGTGCACAAGGATCCAAGTGTCACTGAACACATGATGCGTGCCGTCCGCATCAGCTTCAGCTTGTGATCGGGCAGACCTGATATTCGCTGCCACCGTTGAACCGAAAACCCTGCTACGGGCAGTTTTTGTCGTTGTCTGCGGCCCTGAAGGCAAGGTGTGGTCGATCTGAGGGCGAACTCTGTCCAGGCCCTGGAGGAGGGCTTTCAAACCTTCCAGGCCATCCAATGCGGCGCCTTGGTGAAGACAGAGTTCTGACACATTCTGACTGGCAATTGCAACAAACAGAACAAATACATGTGTAGGAACCAATGCTGGCACGGCCACAGTCGTTTGCTTTTGCCTCTGCATTCCTTTGCCTTTGACCTGAGTGCAGCCAAACATCTTTCGTCAGAAATTGCCCCAAGATGCTGTGAATACGGCGGCACATCCGGAGAAAGTGACTGAAATCAGGCTGAGCAGTGGTTAGTTGACGTGCGGCTGTTCTCAACCATTTCTGCTGTAACTCTGCTGAAGCAGTTTTTGTTCTGCGAGGCAGGCATCAGTTCAACTCTTGCAGATCAAGAAACTGTTTGTTTCTGCAAACCAGATCAGACTCTGCAGTGCCTAGTCACCCTAGTCTCTTCAGCACGGCATTTGCCACCACGGCCCATTGCCAAAGCTGCAAGCCAGTTGTGCGCACTTCTAACAATCTGCCAAGTACATTCTGCAGCTCTTTGCACAAGTATTTAGTCATCATACTCATCATTCGGGAACCTTGACTCCAAGTGCAGTATGGGTTACGCCGAAGGTGCGTGCTGTGGCACTGTGGACACAGAAACTTCTGACTCGTCCATGTCGGAGTGGGACGAGGACAGCGATGTTACTAATTCAACAAGTGCATGGCCACACAGTTGCATTTAGCATCTTCCGGTTCGTCTTCCAGTTTGATTTTTCACTCTCGGATATGCAGGCTTTCCTTGAAAGTCTGTAGCGCCCTCCTGAATACTGCTTTTCAGCGACGTCCACACCGGCATATGTTCTCGTGGAGTGCCATGCACATCTGAGGTGAGGTCATTTGCTTTGACCCGCTATGTCCAAGACATGCGCTCTGGCATGGCTACCTCGTGCCCTACACGTGCATGGCAACCTGTCCGCTTGAAGAGTGGGCCGGCAGCACTGCAAGCAGGACATTGCAGAGAGCCTGCCTTATGGCCACGCAGGGCAGGAGAAGAGACGACTGTCCAGAAGATCTTGACACTGCATTGTCACATTTCGAGCACGTACAGCCGTCTCTCCTCCATGTCCCCAGCGATGTTGAGGTCGCCGGCTTTCAACACCTGTACAGAGTTGCAAGCTGCAGCTACTTTTGAGCTTCCCTCTGTGAAAGCTATGCTCCGTCAAGGGACACACTGGCCTGTCCGAAAGACTGTCTGAAAGGAGGCAGCCGTCAATAAATGGGGTGGTTTGTCTTCGAGAGGCCATTCTTTGCGCATCTTGTGCCGATGTCCTGAACAGAGGTCCTTTGCTGCATGTTTCGGCATCGCTCGTGGTCCCGGGCCGAGCATGGCCCATGCTCTGAAGCTTTCTCACCTTTGAGCCTGAAGAATCTTTGGGAGCCGAGGCTGCGGTGATTTGCACCACCTGCCACATGCCCTAACCTGAGCTCCAACAGCCAAGAGTCTCCGAGAGGGTCAGTGAGTCCCGCAAGAGATGAGGCCTTTTGATGTGGTCCTGGTCGTGTACTTCCCTCAGCCGAGGGGCTGAGGGCTGCAGCTGCTGGAGGTTTCCTCAAGCACCGTTCGTCTTTCGCAGGTATCAAAGTGCACAGAGCCTCGGCTGCGATCGCCTTCGCTACATTCGGTCTGGCCCGCTGGCTTGCGCAAATGCGCTGCTGCGAGAGCCCAGAGCCAAGCAGAGCCAAGCAGAGCCAAGCCGACAGACATACTTGATATTACTTGATGTCTCGCAGAGACTCAGCTTTATGCTTTTCAGGTCCGGACCCCAAGTCTTTTTTCGCGGGTGGACACCTGCCTTCGTGCGCCTGGCTCCAGTGCCCGGGCCCCGGGCCCCGAACCTCTGCACAAATGGGAATTCCCCAAAGCCCCAAAGAAACCGCTCTCAAGGTGTGTCTTTTCCTTCTGGCTCTACGAACAGCTCCGGCGTCTGGTCGGCATCGGTTACTTGGACTGACAGCTTCGAAAAAAGTGTGACACTCAGCGGTTTGGGCGGCATATGTTACGTGGCTTACTGCAGCTTCGCAGTGGTTCACTGTGGGGTTTCGGATCTCAGGCTTCGACAAGTTGTTTATATCGATGAGCAGTGGCGAGGGTCCAGGGTCCCTTCTGCAAGTGCACAGTTCGCACACGGTTTCCCGACTCTGTGTTGAAGCTGAACGACGGGCAATGAAGCCTGAGCTCAGTCAATACCAGTGGGTAGATATGGCATGTCTTGACATCGGTGGCGCGATGGAAGGGTGTGATGTGTTATGGCATAAACTAGCTGCGCGCTTTGACTTTCATTCAGATTGTCTGTAGTGTTTGCCGTCCACACGACGCCATGGAGGCATTGCTGGGGACAACACTGTTGCATGGAACGTCGCAGGTCGCGACTTCGTCTTTGCAGGGAGGGGTCGTAGCCCTCTACTTTTCCGCTGGATGGTGCCCTCCGTGCAAAGGATTCACTCCTCAATTCCGCAAAGTGTACGAGCACGCAAAATCGAAGAATCGAGCCTTGGACGTGGTCTTTGTATCCAGCGATCGTGACGAGATCTCTTTCCGGGAGTACTTCGCCAAAATGCCGTGGCATGCACTGCCCTTTGCGGATCGCCAGCGGCAACAGCAGCTCTCTGCACACTTCGGTATCCGCGGAATTCCTTCGGTTGTCCTGCTCAACTCTTCTGGGCAGCTGCTGGATGCCAGCGCACGAGGCAAGGTCATGGAGCCTGGTTTCGTCCTGTCCCTGCCACGCTCCATCGACTTAGCGTCGGCAGCGCTGCCTGAGCCGTCGGGCGCCCTCCAGTTGCAGCTGCGGTACAAAGGGTGCGAGTATGACATCGAATGTGAGCCCAGAGTCTCGGACTTGATTGACTCGCTTTAGTCGTAGTCTCCCAGCTAGCTGCTACAAGTGGAGCCAACATACACACAGTTTGCCGGTTGTGGATTCCAAGATGCAGGTGAAGGCTGGGAAATGCTGCGCATGCAGATCTACTCCATGATTGACGTGCCATCCGAGCAGTTGAAGCTGTTTGGGTTGGGACTTGACAAAGGCCGGCATGAGCACGAGGGCTCAGATTCCCTGGTTGCAGCTGTATGTAAGCCCAAACCAAGTCTGTAAGCTTGCGTAGAATGGGCCCATGGTGCCTGGGCTGTATGTTTCAGATCCAGACTTTTTTGATTAGTAGTCATGCGGCTTAGGGAATGAGCTCTCGGGGTTGCAATCCCAAGGCGCAGGAATTTGTCTTGGACTGTGCAGCTAGGCGTAGAGCTTGGGCTTCCGGACCTGTGGCAAGGTTTTCGCTTGGGTTGGATTGAAGGTTTCGCGATCGTGGTGAGGCCTTCTGATATGCTACTCAGGGACTGCAAAATAGTTACAAAATATGAGGCATGCAGATGCATCTGCCACAGACCACTCGTTGATTCTGGGCATGCGCGTGCAGCGGGAAGTTTAATGCTCGGGGTTCTTCTTGCCGAATGGATGTCCCGCGGCCAACCAGTGTCGTTCACGGACTGCCCTTGGGAGGCGAAGGTTCGGTTTGCGACTGGCGAGGCAGAAGTCCACAGCGCTTTTGCCTTCCTGCTTGCTGCTCCGGGTATGCTGGCTTCTGCCGATCATGCCATGCAGCTTCAGCAACTCCAAATGCTGGTTTCTGCCGATCACGGCCTTAAGCCACATCCGTCTGTAGAAAGCAAGGCTCCGCAACATCGCTGACTCCACTAGGTATCTATACATATGTTCAATGGCTTTTGTGACCGCAGGGGTTATGGTGCCGAGCTTGCATCAGTCTCAATGTCATCTGCTATCCAGGGCTCGGTTTGCTCGGGATCAACGGAAAGCGCCAGATCATGTCCGTGCTTCGTGAACTGATGCAGGTGTTGCGGCAAAATCACTCCCACACGCAAATCTCGACCCATCGTTTCCAATCCAGAATGCACTCCAGCCAAAGAGCGGTTGTGCTGTAGGCGAACTGCAACGACATGTCGACAGAGACAATAGATACGCACGGCCTGTGATGACCCTGAAGGTCAATTGGATGAGTCCGTCCCTCTACCGCGGGCCTTGGCGAGGGGCATTGCGGCGCAGAAGAATTCGGGTCTCCAACTGGCCAAGGCGGGATTCAACCTGTCGGGGTGTCAGCTGAGCATCATAACCACTCCTTGAGTGGTGAGAGAGCCACACATAAACCAACATATCTACAAGGTACTTAAGCTCCTTGCAACACAGCCCTAGCTCTCCGTTGGTAGCCCTTGGAGGTGCCATTAGAAGCAAGACGAGCCTCCTCGAGTCACGATGACGATAAGCCAGGGCAAAGGCATCACACTGGATGCTTGGATCAGAGGGCTGCGCGGGATGGGGGAGCCGCTGACCTGTACATGGCGCTATGTTATGTGTTTTGAGCAGAGGAACCTTGGACTCCGCCAGCGCTTGGTGTTCCAAGCGCGAAGACTGCAGTCCCTGGTACCAGTTGGACCTGGGAGAGGTCGGGAATGTTGCTGGAGTGCTCTTGGCTGCACGCGCCGGCCTCGGTGCTCGCTGCATGCCTCGATCTTTCGAGGATCTGAAGCAGCCTTTCGTTCGTTGATGCGCCTGAGGCGTGGATTGTGGCCAATGGGTCACAAGGCTGGCAAGTGTGGCTTATTGGTGTCTTCAGTGGTCGTTTCGCGAGAGTTTTGCAGGTTCCGGGTTGAGCTGGCTGATTCTGAGGACCGGCTTGGAAGCCTTCGGCAAGCGTTCAGAATCGCTTTCGCAGGATGGGCCCTGGTCTGCGGCTGACGATGGCAGGGAGTTCGATGGGCCAAGTACTCGGATCTTCGGACCGAGCTGGGAACATCTGGCACCTTGTTCTTGTCTCTGAGGCCAAGCTACGCACTCCCCGTACGTGCGGTCTTTCAAAACGGCACATGGCCAAGGAGTGAAATGTCCAACACCTCGTACATGATTGACTGATGTCGGCTAGTGTCGTGCTGCTACTCGCAGTGATCCTGGCGAGTAGACTTGTTCCCTATATAATGCTTTGTAAAGGCTACGCCTCTTTCACTAATGGTAACGAATGGCCTGCAACCAAAGCTGCGTATCATCATTGGAAAAAGCAAACTCTCGGCAAATCAGTTCGTCAAAGACTTATGACAGCAGGCGGTCTTGACAAAACTCTGCAAACATGTCAATACCGTGGCGTTTGCTGGCTAAACCAGACTGAGGCTCACAGCTTGCCCGCTTCGTTCGAATCCTGCCGTTAAGTTGGCGTCTCAGGCTTCCCTGTCGGTTACTGTTACTGAAGCACAGAGATAAGCACACGGAGGTCACCGGAACCATTGCTCTCTCCGTGCAGATGTGCTGCTGGAGCGGGGAAGGGCTCAAAGTGCTGAGTGTTGAGTGGTCCGATCTTGCAAGCTGGTGTCGTCTCAGTATGAGTGGCCGCTGGCAGCGAATGCAGGCTACAGGAGAACCGGACAAACCGCCCGTAATTGCCTCTTGGGTGTTCATTGGACCGTTGCGACCTGGAGGGCTCTCGTTTCCCCCGTCGCGAAAGCTCTTTAATCCTTTCCGAGGTCGCTCTGGGAAACTTCAGTGCAGGAGACCCATTCGAATCCGAGACGCCCGAGGCCGCGAATTCTTCCTTCACCCGCGACTCCGCATGAAATCGCGGAGAGACCTGGTCGAGGTGCCGATGGATGCGATGATGGAGGAGCAGCACCTGGTCCCGGGCTCGATGCACGAGCAAAGACGCGAAGAAATGAGTGGAGAGAACTATGTCCTGAGGCGATGTTGCAGGCCAAGCTGAGCTCACTGCCACCCAAACTCCAGAATCAGGCCTTCAGCATCCTTCAGCCACAGATCCTGCCTGTCGCACGCCGTCGAAGCAAGCGAGCAGGTCGGATCCCTGGCCACAGTGCAGGGATATGAGATGAAGTCGCTACAGCGACAGGCGCATCCGTCCCGCCTGCCGTGTGATCTTCGCGACAAATGCGGCTACCATCCGTGCTTGCTGTGTGCTCCATACGAGCTGCGGCTGGCGTGCTGCGGGAGGCGCTGGACGAGATTCCTGTGCTTGGCCTCGATGCCGCCGTGAATCCGAGCGAGAGTCCTGACCTTGACAATGCCGACAGTACTATAGTTACTAAAGAAGCAAGAGACCGAGTCCAGGCTACGAGATCTCCTTCATGAGGATGTGCGGAGCCTAAATGTTATGGTACGTGATAGTCGGAGCTCAGACTTGAACGACTTCTGTGGGGTAAGCTTTCCCATGACCGGTAGATGAAGTTCGCGGACATTGCCGAGCACTAGAATGGAAGCCAAGCGTGGACACCCTTGCGCTAGACCGCTAGACCTCAGGATGCACATCCTAGCGAGCATAGAATCCTCCTTAGGCGCAGATCCTAGGGCTTTAGGGGTCTCAGCTGCAGGGAGCCAATGGCGATTTTGGAATAGGGTGTGCTGCATTTTGTAAAAAAACATGGCGCACATGCGGAATAGCAAGCGCTCGCTCTGCCGCAGCTGTGAGCCTTTAGACTCTCCAGCCGTCATGGTTGTAGACACCGCATTCTATCTTTTGCAGACTATTCGGTTGCTGGACCTATCGGACTTCTCTGACTCCTGTTCTAGCACAAACTTGAGCAATGCAGGGCCGTCGATCGAGGGCAGTGTTTGCAACGCTGGCCTTTGTTTTCGGCGCTGCCGGCGTCAACTTTGCATCTGTGTCAGAGGATGGCTCGATGCTCAGGCCCGGCCACCGGACGGTATCTCCAAAGAAGCATGTGGGGGGGGGGGGGGTGCATGCAGGTGTGCATCCGTGCAGCGTTGTATTCGATTTGTGAAAGTGTGCGCGTCATTTCAGGCAATTCGCCGGAATTCGATTCGGATCGCGATCAGCCTTGAAGACGCGAATGCAGGATTTTGCGAGGCAAGCCGAGCAGTGTCAGTGTGCTGTCAGTGTGCCAAGTCACGTCGCGCGCCATGGATCTAGCACTGTGGTGCCTTTCTATTCCTGTTCCCACCAGTCAGTGAGGCAAGAGCTCCTCCTCCTTGATCACAGTCCGCAGTCTGTCCTCTCATCGGACAAGACGAAGCCTCAGGGTGCAGATCTCTTTGGCTCATGTGATGGGTCATGATGGGTCTTTTTTGTGGCCACCTTGTCGAAGCTGATAAGCATTCGCGGTTCCACCCAAGCAAAACCAAGCTCCTAAGGCTCCGCAGTGGTGCTGCTTGTGCTTTGCTGGTAGCAGGAGGCCTTGTTTCAGGGTGTAGGGGCAGTTCTGTGGTTCAGCTCGTATGGGATCGAAGTTGAAGCTCTGCCGTAGGACAAATCCTGTGCCCGGTACGATTGTGTCCCGTGAAGTTGTGCACCCGGAGCCAGTTCGGAATATGAGCGAATGTTCTTTTGGAGCTTAGCCACCAGCCGGCAACATGGATGAAATGCGACCAGGTCTGTGGCTTCTGCGCGTGTCCTTGCGGCACTCGTGAAGCCTCACTGGATAGTTTCAGGGCTGACATCGTGGGACATCTCGTTCTGTTACGGAATGGTTCATCTTATTTCCATCTCTGAAGGCTCTGCTGATTGTGCTAACGTTTGCCATGTGAAGCGATTGGAACTGCATCTGAAACTTCAGTCGTAGTGTCGTGTGACATGATGTGAGTCTGAGGTTGCCACAGGCCAGACTTTGCGATTGGCAGTTCTTCCACGCGACAGTCAGAACCATTGATTGATGGGTGAATATGAGATTTCTGCTGAAGTTACCGTTGTTTTTTTGTTGTTGTTGTAGCCGCCACGCATCACAGAAGGCAGTGTAGCACTGCTAATCAGGCTGCGGGTGCCAACTCTAGAGGCTCGCAGCAAGCTCCCTTTGTAAGGGTTATCCGCTCGACCGAGCCATTGAGTTCGCCGCGGCCAAGCGCCTCTGTGATCTGCCGGGTCCCAATTCCCTCTCGGAGCACGCTGACACAGCGAAAACAGAAGTAAGCGGTAGGGTCTTCACTTGTCCGCGGGGTGAAAGGAGCATCGTCTTGCTCAGGCTTGGCTTTGCAAAACAAGTGGATGGCGACACCGCCTTTGCACCATTCGGTTCAAAGCATACACAAGAGAGCCTTTAGGAAGGCAGTCGGGTTTATTGCACGCAGTCGAGTCAGGACTACAGGCACGGGTCCCTCACACCAGGGTAGCTAAGGAAGAGTGGCTTGGAGCCTCCGCCAGCACCGACCTCCACCTACACGGCCCCCCCAACGCAGGCCTTTGAAAAGAGCACCAGAGGGGGCAGGTCTGCAGCCGTTGTCTGAGACAAAGACGTGGCTGCATACCAGTGCCCAGCGCACTTGTGATGTGCTCGCACTTCAGGAAACGCGCTGGCACGAGACCGCGGAATTTGAGCTCTGCCAAGAAAGGAGCCGCAAGAGCTTCTAAGGGCAAAGTTAACGCTCGGCAACGCGGAGGCCAGCCCGACCCTGCACCGCAGGACGGTCAGGAACGGGCCTCGACCGTCGACGCCAGGATGAACGGTGCTAACTGGAAGTTCCTTGTTCGTGTCCGGATCGTGGTTCCGGGCGGCTCATCAGCCGATGGTCGCGCTGACTGCCCATCTTTATACCCAGTCGGGTATGTCCCGGACCGATACCACTTATTTGCACATCGGCAGTGAAGCCTTCGGTCAAAGGCTTCGAGGCAACGATGACGGAGCCTTCACCATCGAAGGCTCTTCCTGGTCTGAGAGCCATCGCCCAGTGCTGAATTTTGGAAAGCTTTCTCGCAGAGGCACCGCTTCCGCCACTCCGCCACCCCCCCTTGCATACCAGACCGGGTTGTCCCACCGGGGCCCGGGCTGCTGCACTACCGGATCCAACGCTCTGACCTTGAACCCGAGTCATTGGAGCCAGCCGTCCAACCGGCATCGGTGGCGGCCGTTCCTCAACTTCGGGGTCCATTCAGCTCGGGGGCACCCTCCACAACGCCTATCTCAACCCTCGAGGCTAACCACGCCGGAGTGGGCCGCCGTTGCTGAGGCTAGCTGATACACCCTGATCCCTAGTAAGCCTCTTTTCTTAAGGTTCCCCTTTCGGTTGCAGCCGTGGCCATAGATTCACTGAAGTGCAAAAAGCCAATCGAAGTCGCTTTAGACATACTAACAAAGCGACACGGAGGGGCAACGCCCTATCCGGTGGCAGCGGCACCGCCCCAGGCACGGCCCCCTCATCTTTCAGCAACCGACATGAGCCTGTAGCTGCCCGGATAACATAATGCCTGCCATAAAACTGGTCATTTATCGCGTGCTCGCACGTCAAGCTTCGCGTGCATGTTACTTTCGGAAGCCGTTTGGCCTGCTGAGTAGCCCTTCTGCTACTTCAGAAAGTGGAGAGTTTAGTGGAGAGAATCGGCAGAAAGGATGGAAGGGCGATGCTGCTGCCTCCAAGCAGGCAGAATCGGATGGACTTCTTCGAGCAACTGCCTGAGGTCTTGTGTGTGTCCAAACAGCCCAGGGCACCACCCAAGGGACGATGGGAGGCACCACCTCGAGCTCCGCCGCACCGCCTTGCAATTGAGTATGCTGCTCCACTATGGAGAGGGCGCAAGAGCATCTCCACGACGCCGTTCAGAGACATCTCATGGTCATGGCGCTTGTGGAACTGTGGCCACAGTCCTACGGAGGCCTTGACAATGCCACTGTTACAGAGCTTGTGCGCATCACCATCAACGTCCTTTTAGCTACTCGGGACTGCCTGGCGTGTGCCTTTTGCGGCAGCAAGAGTGCTGGACAACCGATCCTTTTCCACACGGAGCAGGGACTTGGGGAGCACTACAACAGGAGGAGGCCACACCACCGCCACGCCGCGTGAGCCAGCAGATCCACCTCGGGCCAAGGCACCGACCCCCCATGCCAACACCTCCCACGCCACCTGCACTACCGCCATCTATGGCTGAGATGTGTGCTGCCCAGGACTTTGGTCCTCAAAAACCCACAAAGCGATCCTCGCCAAGCGTCACGTGGGAGGTCCTACTCTCAGGACGAGTGGTGGTGGCTGCAACGGGTGTCACCATTGCCACAACCGTCCCGGTCCGGGACCTTAGCGGCGCATCTGACACGGTGTTGCCGAAACCTACGTACTGGGTCGGCGGTCTTCATCCCATGTTGACAAAGGGTATGCGACTCTTTTGAGGAACGCCGAGTTAATCCCGAAGACTTCCAGCCCTTTGCCTTGGCCTTCCAGACCATTTACAATGCCTGTTTGGCCAAGGTCCACAATCCCTCCCGGTGCATCATCCAGTATGCCACGCATGACCGGTCGGCCAGTTTGAAGCTCACCCATGGGGATACGATCATGTCCCAGGGGCCTTACAACGCTCCCAGAGCAACCCCTTTAGTTGGACAAACCATTGCGCGAAATTCTGCAGGCTTGTTTGGCTTGGAAAAGGACCGGTGCGTTTTTAGCCTTCGCACTTTCGGGTTTGACCGACTCCAAGTCGTGCCTCCAAGCCGACGGCATCCGTTGCCCGACCATCAAGCGTGGGGAGCACCCAGCACATGACACATCCTCGGTCAAAGATTTGGGTGATGGTGGTGCGGAGAGCTGTTCCGCTGCAAACCTTCAGTTTTGTTGTTTGTGCTGGTGTTGTGTGCTTCGGGCAGGGCAGGTGCTGTTCGTTCTTGCTCTCAAGCTCAGTCATAGTGTGGACATGCGATGCGTGTTGGCTCAAGGCCAAAACGGAGGTCTGGTTTGTCGACCTCAGAGTGTGAGGTGTGCCCAGCGTAGCTGGGCGTGTTTTGCTCATGATGATGTTTGTCGTATCGATGCTGATGGCAATTTTGTAAGTTAAAGCCTGCACCTCTGAAACCCCGTTTTTCCGAAACCAGTCTTTGTTGGCCAGGCCACCTGGAGTGCTGGGCGGCATCGGTTGGCTCCTGTCTGTCCCTGAAATCTGTGGCAGCAGCGTCACCGTTGATGGCGGCCGGCTGCGGAGCAGGCGAACGGCCGATTGGGGTGAAGTAGTGCGAGGCTATGTGAGGTGACCATCTTGAGCTCAGAAGCCCGAGCGAGGTGCTGGGGCGCTTCACACCTTGTCGGGCCCCGACCACCTTGCAGCTCTGGCACCCCTTGCCCTTAGAGTGCGAAAGGGGCCAGGAGCGGCCTTTCGGACAGGCTCGAAGCCCAAGAAGCCCAAGACCTAGATGGTTCCGCATGTTGGTACAAGCCGCGAGGCATGTTTTGGGGCTCTGGCCATGTTGCTGGGCAGATTCTCCTTGGGAACCTCAGGGGCAATTAGCATGCTGCAAGTAGCTGTGACGAGCTGGAGTCAGCAGCGCGAGTTGCGGCAGCACAGGTCTGGCCTTCTTCTGCTGAGCCGCAGTCCTCTCTTCCGATTCGTGAACGCTTTTCAATTCGGCGGGCTCGCAGAGCAGCTGGCGACCCTCGCAGTTGGATTCGTGCTCATGACTGGCAATTTGGTTGTCTTCGTGGCCTTGAGAAATTTTTGGGATTCTGAATGGCCAAAGCGCTTGATCTGCGCAGGACGATTGGTGCTCTGGGCATCAAGGAATCACGAGACACTTGCCTCGTGCAGACATAATGAGCGTTGCCGAGTGGTGCACTGTTGGTGCGCGGGTATGAAGCTGTACGAGGTCTGTTGATCAACGCCAAATGTCGCTGCTCTGAGTGCTTTGGTCAGGAATGGGATGAGGACCAGAATCCGGAAAGCGCCCACACCAGTTTCAGCTGGAAGACTTTCGGAACTGGAATGCTTTCTGGGATGCCGCTCGGCTAGAATCATTGAAGGCTAGCTTTTTGTCTAAAGCGGTCAAGCACGATTCGAGAACAGACCGCAATTCAAGCATGCGCGATTCAGACACACAGGATTCAGGCACGCGCGATTCCATCGTTCACGATCCTGTTTCCAGCATTGAGTTGGCGATACTCACGCAATGCGATCAAAGAGGTTTGGGGTACGTGAGGTTTGCGGATTTGGGGGTTTATGTTTTTTCGGTGTTTTGTTTACATGGTTTTCAGGGTTTGGTTTTCAGGATTCAAGATATTCGGGTTTAAGCATTTACGGTTAATGTTGTGGTTTTTAGGCGGGTCAAGGGTTGAGGCTTTGCTTATACGGTCGTAGGGTTTAGGATCTTGGGTGCAAGGTTTAAGCCTTCCAGGTTCGTTCGTATCTGTATGCCTAGGGCTCTCCACCCCCTGCACGAACCGGCGCAATTTTCCGGCTCCGCGGTTCCAGCGCGTGAATACAGCTTCACATTTAAAGGCTTCTGAACAGGAGAGTGTATATACGATGGACTGATTTTAGTTCATTTCTGACGTCGTTGTGCAACGCCTGTAGGCCTACCGTTAGTCGAAATGCTACATGTCTTCGTGACCTTCTGCTCAGTTGCATGTACAGGAGCCAGTCATCCACATTTCATCTTTGTGTTTCCCAGCTTAAATATCAGTCAGCACTCGATGCCTCAAGGCATCCAGATGCACTTCTGCTCTGCTTGCCAGCGCTGACTCTTCCCACTCAGGTGCTTGCCTCAGAAACAGTAAGAAGCGAGTGACCAGCACAGGTAGGTTCCCTTGCTGTCCCTTTCCATGTTGCTAAGTCGGCCGGGCTTATCTTCCTGACTTCCTTTGGCGCGGGCTCGATGTTGGCCATGGGAGGCTTGCATGTATGGGATCCGGAAATGACCCCACAAGCCCGAAGCCACGGTCACGTCCTGTTGCAGGCTACACCGCCGCACTGAGGGCAGCCTGCCGAAGCCTAGGCCATCAGGAAAGTCGTGCTAGATGTGCACATGTCGGCAAATCTGCCCCTGTGCAGGCGAGGAGAGCGTGCGCAAGGTCTCCATCCTGGCCTCAGTCATGGCGCTAACACTTGGCGTGGGAGTGTGTGCTTCGAGCGTGGGGCTGCTGGGGTTCAAGGTCTAGGAGTCCACCTGGACTGGAGAGAGCCTGAAGTTGTTTACATTTGGGAGCTCGGTCTAGGGTCCGTGCTGTGCAAGGCCGCAGAGCACCCTGCAAAGAGAGGAGGATCGACCAAAACAGTGTGATTCTCCTCGGAAGGTGTGTCTCATGCATGGCAAATTCACTGTCTGCCAGATTTGTAAGGAGCAGAAGTTGTAATTCTGCAAGCTGACCTGAACCGGCAGAGAAACGACCCATGGCTCAGCACAGGAAGGGCATCATCATCGGAAGCTTGACGACACAACAAAAGCCTGTCGACAGATCAGCTTCGTGGCAATTTTGCTGAGCTCTGTAACAACTATAGCTATCGCATGGTGCTGTACAGTTCCAGATGCAGCTGCGGCAAAGCACAGCAAAAGCGAGCATTTCAACTGTTCGGCACACTCCCACTTGAAGGAAGTGTCTTTCTGCTGTCCTTCTGAGGCTGGTGCGTTGGTTTAAGCATGAGTTCTTCAGCTGGACGAATGCACCCAGGTATCTGCCAGCAAATTGCAGCCTCTCTCTCTTTCTCTCTCACTCTCTGTCCCGCTCTCTGTCGCTGTCTCGGCTTGCAGGTGCGAGCACTGCGGCTCAACTGAGACAAAAACAGTGGGTCGCGCCGACCCGACACCCGAGGAGCGGAGTCCTGCAAAGCTTCACCAAGCTTGCCCGACTCTCCATATCGCAACGTCGCGCAGGAGAAGCACTTCAAGGCCAACACTGTTGAACTGGCAGAATGTTCGAAGTGCGGCGGGCAAACGCGATTTCCTCGCTGGATTCCTAGCCAGGGGACATTGCTGCAGTCTGTTTTCAGGGCAGCCTGGGAACGATGACATGTCTTTGACAGTTTGGTAAGGCTACAACGATCCAGCAAAGTTGCTTCAGACCCGAACGGGGCGCTGTGGTGAGTGGGCCAACTGCTTTACGCTCGTATGCCGTTCGCTCGGCCCGCTTCTCAGCCGTTGGAGCATCCGCAGCTCGTATGCTTCAGGTCCTTCAGGTCCTTCTCTTGTGAGACCTCTGTACAAGGCTACGAAGCTCGACATGTGCATGACTGGACAGACCATGTTTGGACCGAAGTCTTCTCGGACTCCAAACAAAGGTCGGGGTCATTGAATTGAAGGTCACCGCAGGTTCTGCGGATGTGCGCTCAGATCTTGCAGGTGGTTACATGTCGATTCTTGTGAAGCGGCACTGGACTCCCCCCTCATGTACGAGAACCCCAGCAGCACTAATGACTGCTTCAGGCCCTGGATCAATGACAAGCGGGGGGGGGGCGTCCTTGCCATGCCTGAGGAAGGGCTGGGGGAAGAAGCTGACGTACTGCATCGGCTTCGCTCGAGATCACGTGGTGGATGTGACCAGGCGATATACGCAAAGCTTCGAGGTGCGTCCATGCATGCCTATGCTGTTCAGGGCTTTTGAACTCGTCATAGCCGTTGCTGGGCCAGACCGTAGGAGTTGCTCCCCCGGCGGACACAGTGCGCAGAAGAGGTGCTGGCGTTTTGTTCAACAGTTGCGTGGCGATTGTGTTCAGCTGTTAAACTGCTTCCCATTTGTTTGGAGGAGTTGAAGAAAGCTGTGAGCGCCATCGACGAGTTTGCCTTGGATCGATCGTTAGTGCCGCAGCTCTGAACGAAATTTACACGGCTGAGCCTCGTTGCGCGAAACTGCTTGTTCGTGTCGTGTTAAGGTACCCCGAGACTGCGGCTGCTGCACGCCGCGCTCTGCTATCTGCGAGGGCTGATGCCGAAGCACAGGAGACAACACACGTCGCCACAAAGGCGGAGGAGGCCGCTTGTTGGAGCCTGGGGTGGTTTGGGGGCTGGGCTGGGGCTGTAGGCAGTCTAAAGGGACATCCATGAATCAAATCTTGTTCTAGGTCGGGCGGACCAGTGGGGATGCTGCTTGGCGCGCTCAGAGGGGCGAGCTCGGAGCCAACGACGCGGCAAAGCAGAAGGCGCGGGGGAGTTCTTGTGCAGTTTATAGCAGAAGTCATGGTGGGACGAAGCCAGGTAAATTGACACATTGAGCAAACGGTAGCAAGGCGCCAGAAGGAAGAGAATCGCGGGTTCTCACAAACGATGAAAGAGTAAGCGTAAAAACTCTGCAGCAAGTCTCGGGAAAGGCAGGACACAGGGAGAAGTCTGGAGCAAAGGGTGCCGGGAGAACACTGGGTATGCGACAGCTAAAATCGAGGGTTTCGAAGGCACCTGTCGCAGCTTCGCAGCTGAGCTGGACAGGGAAGTTGCTTTGCGACTGGCGGTCGTCTGAGCTGCTGAGGCCCTTGATTGCTCCGAAACGGGCTTGGAACAAGCCGTTGCCTCAGTTCTCGTTTGGGGACCCGAGGTCCAAGCGGAATGTCCCAATTTCCTTATGCCTTCCAGGCAGGCACATCCCGCCCCTCGACGGGGTACAAAGGCCAGGGCCGTTCCCACGGGATGTCCTGAGTCCTGGTCTACGAGAAGACGACAAGCTCTGGGTCGCATTTTTGAGCCATGAGACTCTCACTTCGACTCACTTCGACTCTCGAGTGTCCAAGCAGTCCGGCAGGTGCCGAGGACGCGCAGGCAGCGCTGCGCGCGAGGCGGGGCTCGCGGTGCTCGCTGGGCACATGCCGGGAAGTTGCACAGATCCGGCCTCGAGCAGCTTTCGACTTTTCTTTCCCGCAGGGTGGCCAAGCTCATGGCCACAGGGCTTTCGGCGAACGATGCCTTGTTGAAGGCGCGAAGATGTCTCCCAGCGTACTTCATTGATTTTCGCTTCCAACTGCGCCAAGGTGCTGGAGGAGGCTAAGCAGAAGGCTTAACGAGCAATAACGGAAAAATGGCGTGCTGTCTTGAGTTGCGCGCGGGCTTTGTCGAATCTGTTTCGAAGCCGCGAAGCATAGCCCACTTTCCCAACTCATTTGCTAAGACATAAAGGATAGGAAGGACTAATCAAAAAGTGCCTTGTCACGCAGCTGCGTGACAAACCCAGCATGTAACTCTTCAACTTTCAAGCCAAATCCGTGCTTCTTTCGCTTTCCTTTTTGTTGTCATCAGCCGTTCGAGCCTCGACTTAAAGTCGTGCGAGCAGTTGCGCATGCTGCGTCCACATGGCCGTGTAGAGTCGAGTGGTGCCTGCGTCGTGGAGTCAACTACATTTAATGAATTCCCGCCCTTTACACAGTATCTTTGGAAGTTGTAGACTGCTCAATGGCAGAGCTGGGCATTGTCCCAGAGGTTTCGCACACCTTGGCCCCGACATGTGAGGCAGCAACGCTATAGTCGTAGCCATAGTGGGCCCCTCTGAACGTTGACACCCGGTATAGTGTATAGGAACGAACTCGCTCAAGAATCGAGAAAAATGTGATTTATGCAGCGACCGAGTGTTGTCGAAGAGTCGGACGATGAAGAGTACTAACATGCAGGAAGGACTCTCCTTTTTTGAGGTTCTGGTGCAACTTCGTTTCCAGCAGCTCTGCATCAAAAACCGGGACGGGGCTTGACCGAAAGGATGGTTGTCCGAGCCGTCGATTTGGCGACGTGCTACGTGGAAGTGGTTGGGCAGAGGATCTATCGTGCTCTCGTGCTCAGCTCGGACAGACGCCTCTGCAAAGCTTCTCGTAGGCTTCTCGCGACTTCCAGCAGCGCAACCAAGACCCATTTCTGTACGTATGTACGTATGTATGTATACGAATATAAATACAAATCACACCCCTCTCCCCCCACCTCATGGTATCCTCGCCCCCTGCACCCCCGACCCCCCTGTGGGGTGGGGCTTGTGGTGATACCCTTCCCCCGCGGCATCCCCCGCCCCTATGGTTACGTTGTTGTGGCGGGGTCTGCACCCCCCTTAGCTGAGGCTTTGGTTGGCCTGAATTGGAGTACTCAACACGTGTAACACACCTCTTGTCACGATTAGTGACTCAACTGCTGTTGCGGTTACTCTTTATCTTGCTTCTGGCTGTGGCACCGGTGTTACTGCTTATGATGTTGTGCCGCTCTCGACGGCGACGCGAGTCGACAATCGGATCACCTTTGACATCATGCTCACCATCAAAAGAACATCTGCATCTGCCAAAATCACCATCGCCTCATAGTCAAGCATTGTAATTCATGTCTGATGGCGGGAAACTACTGCGCAGATTGCCGCTTTCCGCACATGCCAGGGGTGGGGTACCATAGGGGGTGGGGGCAGGGCAGAGGGTAGGGTGCCACAACGCGTTTGCGGGGGGATACTATGAGGGGTGGGGGTAGGGGCCCGGGACCCGAGATCATATATGCATGCATGCTACCTGCACTGACACGGCGACGCGACGCGGCACCACATGGTGCAGTGTCAGCCAGAGTGAGTGAGTGTGTGCGCGTGTGCACGTGCGTGTGTTTGTGTGTGTGTGTGTGTGTCTGTGGGAGTTTACGGCTTAGCGTTCGGGTTGCCGCTGTACGTCTTTGGTGCTTTGTCTTTGCACTGCATGTGCTGACAGACGCCAAACTCCCAGCGGTACAGAAGCTGATTCCAGAGGCACTGCTGTAGGAAATGCCGCGTGCAATTGGAGTCACTTGCGTCTGCCCTGTTGGGCTGTGTGCAACGGGAAGTGACCTGCACAACAAGTAGCAGGCGTTTGAGTTGGTGTGGTGGCCTAAACTGATTTGTCGCAGTTGGTGCGGTACCATCGAAGACATTTCGGCCCAAACGGTCAAGTTCCGGCGAAAGGGACAATTCTTATGGCCAAAGGAATTTATGTCCTGCTTTCCCGCCAGACTACTGAAGCCTTTCCAGCACCTATAGTCGCTTTCTCACTTCCGCGCCACGACCGACTTAGATTTCTCTACCAGCATCGCGGGCCATGGCAGATTTCTGGCTGTTAGGGGGCCCTCACCAAGTGCAGCCAGGGACCTTGTCCGGGCCGCTGTCAGGGCGAAGCTTTCCTGGGCTGCAGGGCCAGATGCCAATGACCCAAATGCAGGGTCCGTGCCAGCACAGTCAGGCATCTGAGGGGTACTACACCCCAGCACCCCAGCTGTCCCACAGACACTTGGATCAGCTGTCCGCTGCATTGTCTGATCAGGCATTGCACCAGCACATGCAGATTCCCCTCAACATGCAAGACTTGCAGCCGCAGCATGTGCAGCAGGTGCCACATCACATGTAAGCCACTTCAACTGTGCTTGAAGTTGCCCAAGTCCCTGAGGTCGTGCAGCAGCAGATACAGGTCCAACGCCTGGAGCAGATGGTCCACCAGCTTCAGGTCTCGGGCCTGTCGCAATCCTCCAGCTTTCGGCCCGAGCAGTCCGCTCCGGAGCGGTCAGATCAACAACCTCATGCCGCGCTCCCGTTTGAATCACGTTCGAGCCAGCCAAACTCAGCCACAGTCGTGGACGTGCTGACCCTCGCGACTGTGCGGGTCCGGTCGCCCGGGGTGAGAGTGATAGAGATCGAGAGAACGCACCGGTGCTGAGTAACGGATTTTTGTCAGCTCCCTGACAGGCATTCTTCCCGATGTCTGTGGCGGAGAACCTGTCTGCCGATGCAGCTGCAAGAGCGTTCCAGCGGTTCGGAGAAGTGGTTGGCTTAGACATGCGCCCTAGACTTGCAAGAAGAAAAAGAGATTATGTTTTCGAGTCGAAGCTTTCGAGTTTTCCGTGCTTTTGTGTGACAGGCAAAACTGCAAAGGCAAGGGTGAAGTCATCGTGACCTTCTCGGAGCCCAAAGCAGCACAGCAACTCCTTATGGCTTTGACGCCGGAGCTCCACGGGGCTGAAAGACTTTCGGGAGGGTGTGAAAGGCGGGCTGTTTGCTCCTCGGCTCCCTCAATCTGCCCGTGACTCTTGTCGTGCTTTCAACGGCAAGCTCCGGGATCCCCCAAGAAGTGCACTTAACAGCTTGCTCTTGGAGGAGAGAGTTCTGGACTTCACCAACGAATTCGCGCCACCCACGGTGGAGCGGACCAACGAGATCCTTGAATCTGCTAAATCAAGCACCAACGAGCTGCTAAGTCGCACAGAGTTCGCATAAACACCCGAGTTTTTATGGGAAAGGTAAGGCCCGGGGCTTTGCTTTTGGGACCTGCCTCCACAGCTTGAAGATTAGTTCTGGGTGCTGGAGTTGACTATTTAGGAAGTTGTCCGCCATCAGCAGCTCTCCAATTGAGCACCGGCTGTCTCGGCTTCGACACTTTTTCGAGCTTTTTTTCAGGCGGCCGGATAAACGTGGCAAGGTCCTCACAGAACCCATTTCCAAAGTAGCAGATGGAGGATGAATCAAGAAAATCGTTCCTGCGTGACAAGGCAGTCGTCTACAAGCCCATCTGTCGAAGACATAGGCCCTTCCTTTCGACGCCTGCAGGGTTCAGGGTAGAGCTAAGGCAAGTCAATCTTTGCTGCCTCCGCATGCCAGCAAGAACCTTGTGCAACCCAGATCCATTTTCACATTTTCGCAGGTGTTTTGAGAACGAACTTGGCCGCAGCTCGACCTGAGGGTATGTCTCAACTTCATTTTCCATTGGAAGAGTCCGATTGCTCGCTTTCGGGGTTCACACACTGGCCAGATTGCCATGTTGAGTTTGTAGTACGTGTCGCCAAGGGATGCTGTATCATGTTGCGGTGGCTTGGATTGTGCTTGTTGCCTCCAGCTGTTGCCTCAAGGCACCCACTCCGTCAGCAGGCCGGGAGTTGTGGCGTTCGCGTGGAAATACCCTCCAGAACCCTTACCCCTCCGACCTCCGAAGGAGAAGTGCCGGTACCGGACTATGCAACACTCCTGGCGCCGACGCCGGGCCGCCTGCCAACTCCTTTCCGGAGTCCAGCCAAGGAGCCCTTCAGTCACCGTTCTTGAGGAGTATTCTCAGTGCTTGCAAGAATGCAGCCATGTTGCAGGAGGTGCTGGAGAGTGCTCATCAGTTCAGCCCGGAAAGAATAGCCCAGGGCCTGGACTTGAGGACTTTGGGTTGAAGCGCTGCATATTTCGACGGAAGGCGTTTCCGACACTGCACAAACGCAGGACTTCCATTATATTGGGCGGACTGCCCAAGACTTGTAGTTCGGAGCGGTTCCTGCACACCATGAAGGGTTGCCAGCTGATAACGAAGCTGAGGCTCGAGCTTCAAGCGGCCGATGTAGATAAAAGATGGTAACAGGAAATATGAAAGTCCCCCACAGGTTCTTCTATTTGCCGGTCGACAAGCCGCGTGGACGAGCCGTTGGCTATATCTTTATGGACTTCCAGCAAGCGACAGACCTGCTGGAGTTCTGGACTCGACTCCAGGAGCTTTGCGAGGGCATAGGCTCCGAGCTCCGGTCTTTGTTAGAGGGGTAAGGTTCTCCAAATTCTTGAGACCCTGCACAGGTGGGCCGAAGGCGCTGCAAAACCTGTATGTGAGCTACTCACTCATTCAAGGCGCGTCGATGCAGTACGTCGCCAACTGCTGCGAGCCAAGACTGTCTGTCCGTCATCTGTCCTCTTCCCCCTTCCCCCTTCTCCACATATATATATATATCTATAGCAACACAAGTACAGACATGATCAGTTTCATGGCGGAGGTCGGTCCAGGGGGGGGTTGCCATATATATATATATATATGTGTGTGTGTGTGCACGTGCCGGTCTCTGTTTCTGTCAATGTCTATGTCCATGTCATGCCTACGTCCATGTCTACGTCTGTGTCTATGTACAGGGGTATGTATGTATATGTATGTGCACGTGTATGCGTATGTGTATGTGTATGTGTTTATGTATATGTATATGTATGTGTATATGTATATGTATATGTATGTGTATACATACATATACATATATATATATATACATACAGAAAATAGCACCAGCT